CGAAATATGGGAAGATTACCGCCACCTTAAAATGGTCTACCACTCGGGCGTAGTCCCCACCTGCAGCAACTCAAAAATCTACTCACTAACTTTGCAAACTAACACCACAATCTGCCTCGCCCCATCTAGAAACCCCGGAATCGTCTCTTGCCCTGCCCGTTTCCATCCCGGAACGCCCGGGCTATCGTTCTCTTCCTCGTCTCCCTCATCACCTCTTGCGCAGGTCTTTCCTTTTCTAACGCTAATTCTACTCACTCGCTTCAAAAACTAACACTGCTATCATGCTCGCCCGACCTTAGAACCCCCGAAACGGTCCCTCCCTTGCTCGATTCCGTTCCGAACCGAGCGAGATACTTGCTTTCCCCCTTTTCCCTTCACCACTCCCGCCATAGCTCCACGCACCGTCRTTTTCCCTCCAACCCCGTGTSTACTTACTAACTCCTAAATCTWAYASCTTCACTGAACTCRCCACRTTCCCTAACCTTACCTCATCATCTCCCTTTACTCGATTCCGCCAGGAATCGAGCCATCTCTCAATTTTCCACCCTTCGTCTCTGTCCTCCCTCGCTTCAGATGCACCCGGCACGCCCCCGCGTCCGGGTTCATCCACACTTCTCTGCAACGTTCATAACGTCCCCGTCAGTCGTCCTTATCTGGTCTTCTTTCCCGCACGTACCCGGCGYAGGATAGCGCCCTGATGCCTTCTCCCTCCTTTCACCCCTATCGCCTTTCCTTCTCGTTCGCTATCCTCCCTGSTGCCATSTCCCTTGGGAATGAAACCGGCGCAACAAGYCGTCCGGATTCATTCCGGGCTCATCCCTTTCTCCTTCTTCTCTGCAGCGCCCGCTYGCTCCCTGGTCAAATGCYAGCGCMTRCCGTGTCCAGACTTCCCYGAACTTGCCTCCCCGTGTTTTGGGCTTMGTCACCCCACTGTGCCAACACTTCGCGGCCCGAYGGCGTTCGRCTGTCGAAAAAAAGAGAACAACGCCCGAYCGTCGGGCTCTCCTCGCATTATATGCATGTYGTCCTAGCGCCCGGGCCATGCTAATCTACTCTGTATCGRTCGGCCTACTACGAACGCCCCGAAGGGCTTACCTCCGACAGTGCCCCGTGGAGCCAAAAGCGGTGCGCAACCCTCTCTTCCAAAGGCACCGKRCCCTACCTCTCGTCCGGATTCGGCCCCCTTTGTATYGGCGTCACCYTTCTTCATTCATCGGTGCTCCTCGTCGYGGCCTAACCCACTCCCCGACTCCGRTCGGTTTCAGCAGCAGCGCTCCCCTGTCAGCGCTCGACCAAACGGACCCCCGATTTTTACGTGTCGACTTTGCGCAGGGGTCTCGCTAATCTTCTCTATATCGTTCCAGTTTTAACAGATGTCCCGAAGGACCGGGCCGGGGCAGCGTCTCGTGGCGGCACCAAAGGCCGCGCCGCCTGTCTAACCCCCGCCCCTGCGCGGTTTCGCGCCCACCTACGGGCGTGAGATAGATAATAATAGTATTAAAACTTTGAATTAAATTTTATATATATATATATATATATATATATATATATTTATGGATATATAAAAACTGCAAAGCACGCGGTAACCCAGCTAGAGCTGCGGTCCCTGTGGTAGCAAAAGGCGAGGGGGATAGTCCTACCGGCCCATCAACCCCTCAAGCCTTTCCGCTGCGCTCCTCCGCTCCCTCACCTCACGCCGTTGGCCTCGATCCCTATGTCTGCTGCGTACCAGTCCGGTGCTATAACCTATAGGGCTAAGCCAAAACCTGGTACCAGCAAGCCCGACACATCTTATAGAGAGGTAGCGCACGGCCCTTGGGGCCAAGGAAACGCCCCATACCACTTTCCCGGCCCATACTTGCACAAGGGACTACCCAAAAAACTTACGTTGGCCTACCGGCCTCGCCACAGCTACTCGTCCTTAGCCAAATCCATCAGGTCCCATCATCTGGATTTTCACGTAAGTTCATACCGGCTCAGTGAACCATCCATCGCACCCCGCAGAACCAAAGAAACAAGGTACTCATGGCTAATCAGTTTAATCAAAACAAAAGTAACGTATGCTTACCAAAATCCACGCCACGTCTGCCAGTGTAACCAAAAGAAGGAAAAATCATGCGCGCCTCAACTCGTGCGCCCACGCACTCTTTATTCTAGTCAACCACCTAGTCAACATAAATTACAGATGCGGCCGTGCCTGGCACTACATACTTAAACTTTAAACCAAACTGTTTTCTGTCGTTTGCAAAGACCAGGGCGGATACCCTTGTAAGGATATTCGCACCGACAGGTTACCGAACCATATTAAGCGACGTCCCTGTCGCTTCGCAGGATCAAAAAGCTATCAATTCAACCACAATCCCAAAATGTTGACGAGCAGGGTACCAATCCGATTAACCGACAGACCCAGGGTTGAGGCCTCCAATAATCCATGCCAAACACAACTTTATGCTGCCAGGATTCTAACCTGGGTCTCTGTCGCCCTGACACTCGGACGTCGGGATACTCCTCACTGTACTACAGCATAAGCTTCATTGGTCTCTCACCGTCCTCTTCCCTGTGCCCTAAATAACCGTCGACTTCTCGTTGTGTGCCCCTAGCCTTTTCCCTTGAAACCAAGTCGTGACTAGGGGCGCGGGCCCTAACCGAGACCTTCGAAGGCATTCTCTCGCCTTCCTCTCAAAAACCCTCACATTATCACACGTAGCCGTACCACATAGACTCTCACATAAGCTTTCCTGCAGTCTAGTACAGGAAGACCAGGTCTCCATCTTGGCCCACCATAGTTTGGGTGATCATTCCAGATCTACGGCCCACCACATTGTTATTTCAGCAGTAGTGCCTTCGCGGGTTGCGCCACGATAGGTTGTTCTTGATAAGCATTCAATCAGGACTTCCTCAAAAGACTCGTATGACTCGACTCTTATCCCACGCCTCTCCGCAGGAATAAAACCCTCCTAGGCATTCACGCCCCTTTAAGTCTTTACCCCCTTGGCCAGACGCAGACCCTCTGCTCAGGTTGTGCCAAACAGCGGCCGACACCAAGGGTTGCACCTTAGTGATGCTAGTTGTACCCCTAGCTGGGTCTTCTTATAAATGTCAAAGATTAACACAAGTGGTCAGGCGGTGTGTCGCAACAATACAAGCCTACTGCGGGACTACGCATAGACCTGTCGCACATAAAAGGTATTTACCAGTTCCTCTGTGGGACAACACAGGGGAAGCACGACAACCTCTCCACAATCACAAAACAAAATCACTGCCTGATTCACAAGGTCGTGGCCTCCCAGCTTGATCAGAGCAAGAAAGTCACGCATCTTGATGACATCTCTTAAAACACACCTTTTGCGACATCCCAAAAATTTCACCAATAGCCAAACAAAATTTGGTCCCTCTCGTCAGTCTTTTATTACTCAGAGTCAACTTTCCATTTATCAATCTTATTAGTCCCCTAGTTTATAGACGAGATCTCATTTTAACAGGTCTCTCAGTCATCCCTCTCTTTCTAGGATGAACTTTCTCACGACCTTTTCTTTAACGCATCTTCCTTCTCTGAAGGTGTGTCTTCCAAATAGATAATTGACAATCTTTCCATTCACAGGTGTCCCACTCATCATATACTTCATATAAAAAGACCAACTTGCGGGTCTTCTGCACAGCTCAACAGTAAACCACTCACCATACGAATATTCAGGAGCCTCACACCCTTTCACAAAAGAGATTGCGCTTCCTTGCCTTATACTCGGCCCTCTCATCCGCCCATGGGCAGATCGCGCGAGTATACCGGCGAGTAGACAGTTCACATTCATCCAAAGTCACAAAGTACAAGATACATCAAGTATTTTCCCGCACATATTTCACATCAAACCATCATCCATCAAACCAGGACCACATGAGTGAGTGTGAGAGTGATCGTCATATGCAACAAGTAGTCTCCAAAAAGTCTCAATATAATATACACTCAGGGATAAAATATCCTACGTGAAATGTCTCCAACATACACTTAGGGGTAAGATACCTTGTACAAAAAAGAAAATGCCTCCACACTGTGACTCACTCAACTCACTCAAATCCACACTCACACGAGTACTCTTCTCAAAGTACAAGTTAAGCCTGTCTCTTCGGAGATCAGGGTGTAGGCCACCTAAGTATGTACACGCCTCATCTATCATGTCCTGGTCCTCAAGATGGCACACTCAACAAAAACCCAATCCAAACTGCCCGACAAATGTACACAACACCTAGGTCTACATGATGTCATCCAATCCTAATTCTAGTCCTATACGCAATATGTCAACCATACAGGAAAACTCAGTCCTGGTCGCTCAGGTTTTGCCTATATAGTTGAGCCCTACCCCCATCCGCAGATCTCTCTACTCTCCTGCCCTGTCTATCATACATTCTGTCTCCTTCCTCTGTAACCTTCCCTTCAGCCTTGTCCTTTAGGAACTTAGGACATTGCAAGGTTCGATGCCCCTCCTTTGTATAGAAGAAGCAGGACGTATTGAACCACTTCCTGAACCTCTTCTTTCCTCTCTGAGACCCTGGCGATGATGGCGCTTCGCTGACCTCCCTGCTCAGCTCATGGCTCTGAGGCATATCCAAGGGCTCCTCTCGTGTCTCCACCTCCTGGGTACTCGGTCCAGGTCGGTCCTCAATCTTCTTTGGCCCGTACTCAGGTGTGCCCAACCTCTGGAGCCTGCCCTCGATGACACCCTCAGCCTCAATCCCCATCTCTCTCTCGAGAGGCTCCTCTATCCTCTGCTCAGGCGAAAACAAACTCGCCTCCTCCTACATCGAGTGCACTGCCTCAATGAGCACGTCCATAAATCCCTCTGCTTAGCCCTGAGCTGGCTCACTACTAGATGGTGGTAGCCCCTCCTCAACTGCCAAAGGTATGACTGGGCCTGCCGTTGCTATAGGTAGCGTCGCGAGCTCAGTAGGGGCCCTAAACTCGAACGCCTCTCTCTCTGCCTGTCTCTGGGCTCTCGCCTCCTCTGGCTCCAGGATAACTCTCCCCATAGGTTGCTCCTGGGGAGTCTCTGCTGCAGATGGCTGTCCTGGCAAACCATGTCCAAGCTGCCTCTACTCTCCCTGCCGTCTGCTCTCTGGCTTGTCCGCCCCTCCCTGAGATCGCTGCCTCAGGCTCTCGATGATAGCTACCTGGCTGGCCACCAATGCCCTGAGTTCCTGGATTTCCACCTCCATAGCCTCCAGGCGTACTCCATGGCCGACTTCCTTTATCTTCTTCTCTGCCAGATCGCTCTCCAACAACAAGTGTCGGTCAAAAGTTGTCTTGGCCAGGAACTTGATCTTGCGATTCAACCTTTCTTCTGCCTTCCTTGCCACCCCAAACCTGGCTCTGGTTGGCGAAGGAAGCTCCTCTCCTCTCCGCTCCCAGAAGTCCCTCCACATCTCTGGGATCTCTGGGGCCTTAGCTGGCTCGCTGGGTGGCTGACCCGGGAGAGCCCCTGTTGCCTCCAATCTCTCCCTCTCTTGCCGTTGCTCCGGAAGTTCCCCCGCTGCATCCAACCTCTGCCTCTTCTGCCATATCTCTTCTATCCTCCTGATTCTTCTTGCCCTCTTTTCTTTGCCTGTCTCTCCAGCTGGCGCTCTTTCCCTCGTGCGGAGGTCGACCCTCTTTGGAATCTCTGCCTCTACCTCCTGCTCCAGTTGGCACGGCTCCTGGCGTGGCTCTGCAGGTGTTGGCTCCTCCAGGTCTGGGTGCTCCAGGGCATGAGCTGCTAGGTGTCTGTCAATCAGGGTCAAGGTTTCTCTCCTTACAGTTGCCCTCTCTCTCCTGCTTTCTGCCCTCCTCTCTGGCGAAGGAGCCTTTTCTGATGAGGGCAATGGGGTCTCCTCTCTTTGCAACCTCTCCCCTGCCTGGCGAGTGCTCCCTGGTGCATCCCCGAGTCTCAAACCCACCGCTGGTGTCCGAGGGTGCGTGTCCTCTCCAACCTCTATCACTTCCTTCCCTGCACGTCTCCCCTCATCGCCTAGCTCTTTCTCTCACAGATTATCCTGGACCTCCTCCTGTGGCACCTCCTCTCGTGGCACCTCCTCTCGAGGCACCTTCTCTGCCTGCTCTCCACGCTCCTCACCCGGAGGCGACGCTCTCTACTCAGAGATATCCAAATGCGCCTCCAACTCCCTCAAAGGCTCCTCAGACGCTGGCGGCTTCTCATGTGTGCTTGTTGGCGACCTCCTCAATTCACCCTCGGCAAACTGATGGAACTCCACTGGTCCCAACCCACACTCAGGGTACGCGCCTCGTTCCTCAGCCTCTGGCTCCGGCTCCTCCTCTCTCCTAGCTAGGGCCTTTCGTCCTCCTCGAGACGGTCTCGCCTCCCTTGGCTCAGGGTCCCTCTGTCTCTGACACCTCTGACGTCTCTCAACTCTGGGTTGAGGGGGCTCTGGCCGTCGAAAGGCCTCTCTCAGATGTGCCCTGCAGCTCTCCCAGTCCCGAGCATTGTCTCTGACCTGCTTAGTCAGTGCCCTCTCCCCCTTTCTGGTCCAGAGGGGTAACGTCCTCGCCCACTCATCTCTCGGTATACCCTGCCCCTGCATGAACCATTCGAAAACAGGAATAAAATCTGCCGCATTTCCGATTTCTAGGCGGATCGGCCTGCCACATGATCCCACAGGCGAAGGTCGCAGCATCTGCATCCTCGTCTCCACCTCCTGCCTCGTCGTCGCCTCCTTACGAATCCTGGTAATGGGCCCCTCGAACCTGCCTGCTCCACTCAGTCTCTCAATCGCATGGGCCACGGTCCAGTCCATACGCCTCGCATGATCCCAAAAGTTGTCCAGGAATAGCTCGATGTCCCCATCATCGTACATCGGAGTACTCTCTCGATGGCGAGGCCCATGTCGCTCATATCCTCCTGATGCTCCCAACGGCCTCCGAGGCGGTCGTGTCCCCCTCCCTCCTCTTGGCATAGTTGTCTTCGTAAAGACAGACCTGCACAACAGGTGAAGGAGGCAACAGACACACATTGGGGTAAGCAAACAGGTGATAATCAAGCAAGCTCAGACCAAACCATACTCATGCAGCATACAACCTATCGGACCTACATAACCTATCGCTTCTATTCTAAAGGTAGTCAGGTCGTCTCTCTTACCTCTTCTCTCACCATAAATTTATTCAATCGTGTTCCAGATATACCCAATCCTTCCACTCAGTCCCATTCAATTCCTCAATCTGGTACGCTCCGAAGTCTCCAACCCGTACGATCCTGTAGGGGCCTAACCACCTCTTATCAAGTTTCCTGGACCACTGCTTTTCCAGCGATGAATCGTAGAGAAGCACGACGTCCCCAACTGCCAGAGGCACTTTCCTCACCCGAGCAGACTGATCCCATCGAGTCTTATCATCCATACGACTTCTAGCCACTTGATCGGACGCCTCCTGGATCCTTTCCTCTATCGCTCCTATCTGTCGCGCCCGAATGTCGAGCAATTCCTCAAAGGACAGGTCGACTTCCAGATCTTGGCGCCTCCAAGCTTTAAGAAAACTCTCGATAGGGAAGGTGACGTGTCTTCCATACCACAGCGTTGCAGGTGCGTACTTGGTGGATCTTTTCACTGTAATGTTCTCGACAAAGAATGCTGCCCCCAGGTATCTTGGCCATTGATTAGGCTTGCCTTCGTTCCACTTAGCCAGGAGGCTCGTAATGGTACTATGTCCTCTCTCTACAGGAGCATTTGCCTGGGGGTACGAGGCCGTGGTGTAGTTGGCCACTACACCATACCTTGATAACAACTCCTGCACCTCCTAGCAAGTAAATTATGATCCCCTGTCCATTACGAACTCCCTGATGAAAGGATTACGCAGGTAGTACTCCTCGATGCAGCTAACCAAGACTGAACCAGTCTTGGTACGAATGACACGCCCATCTACGAAGCCAGGCAGGTTATCGCGCGCATCGAAGATGTAGTTATAGCCCTGATCCTCAAGCGGCATAAAGAGTAGATCGAGATGCACTATAGCCCCCACCTCTCGCTCTAGCCTTGGATGCAGCGGCTCTCCTTGCCTCAAACGAGATCTCTCCTCGACAGAATTTCCCGACCATGTCCATCATCCCATCCCAGTAGTACAACTCGCTTATTTTGGCGTAAGTGGCTTGGATCCCTCGATGCCCCCCTGCAATGCCATCGTGAAGCGCTGTTACGACATCAATCTAGCGGTTCCTACCGCAAACAACTCTCCTGGGATTCCCCACTTCCCTTCTCACGAAAAGGTGGCCGTCTCGCACTAAGTAGCGCTGCAGCATCCTCTGAGCTCTATCACTTGCATCCCTAAGCCGCATCTCGCAAGACAAGATAAGCCCCAACTCTAGGTAGATCCCATCATACTCCTCTGCACGAAAGACCTCCTTAATCTCCCCCTCCTCGAACTCGTCGTCCTGGCTCTCGGGCACCTCGTTCACATTCGCTGCCGGGTTCAACGAGCCTGACTGGTCGAGGCTTTCCTGCAATAACATGTTGACGAGGAGATACATTCCTCCCATCAGGTCCTCATGTCGTTCTACCTGGCCGGGTCCTTCCTCGATCGTCCTTATGTCTTCCACCAGACTATGCGAACTGGCCAGCGTCAACTCCATCATCCACTGAACATCCTTACCTCCCCAAGGATCTTCTTCTTCAAAGGGTTTGAGGACTAGCTCTGCCCTCCTTTCATATCCGCTCGGCACTTGCCAAATAGAATAGCCCACACATCTAGGCACTCGCGGCGACCACTTGTTGATATGGAGACGGACATCTTTCTCCTGATCCAGGAATCCATCAACTGGGGGCGTATTCTCCACCGCCTCTCCTTCCTGGTTATCCCAGTTGATACGACTCAGCCCGTCCGCCCGGTTCTTGCTACCAGGAATCCGCTCCAACTTGAAGTTAAACATCCAAATGTACGTCAGTCATCTGACAACCGTCGGATCCGATGGAACATAATTCCTCAGAGAGTAGACCAGGGCGGTTGGGTCCACTCTCAAAATAAACCTCCTGCCGAAGATGTAGTTTCGGAAGATCCTTAGACAGTGGAGGACAGCAAGGGTCTCCCTTTTGAACTGAGAGTAGTTCCTCTCTGTCGTACAGAGAGTCCGGCTCTTAAATCGCAAGGGCCTTTCATTTCCTTCCATGTCTGCCTGAATTAGAACTCCCCCTAAGGCAGTCGGCCCCGCATCCGTTTCGACAATGAAGGGTCGTGTCTCCGTGGCATTATAATCTGGCGCCCCTAATACCAACCCTCCCTCTCGAAACTCCTCCTTCATTCTGGCCACCACCTCTTCTTGCGCTTCACCCCAAACCTATTCTTGATCTTGACAGACTAACTTCCTCAGGTGTTCAGTCTTAGCGGCGAAGTTCTTGACGAAGGCCCTCCAAAATCCACACGTACCAAGGAAGCTTCTCACATCAGTTATTGAGTGGAACGGAACTGGCCACTCGGTAATCTTGTCCGTCTTTTTCACATCCGGCCTTCAGGCCCCTCTCGCTGGAGACGAACCCCAAGATAGTCGCTTCCCTCATGCAGTGTCTGGATTTGACCCCGCTTGCCGTGAGGTTATGCTCCTCGAGCAGGCTCAGGACCTTTTCGAGGTCCTGGATGTGCTTCCAAACAAAGCGCCTTACCCTTGGCGAGACTTCGTCGCTCTCCTTCACTGCCGGCCCCTTCACCGCCAAATCATCGATGTATGGCTATGTGATATGAGGGCTGACTAACTGCATAACCCGAATCATGGCCCATTGGATCATTGCTACCGCGTTGGTCCACCCTTGTGGGGCCACGTTCATGTTGATTAATCCTCGCGGCGTGTGCATAGCCGTCATCGGCCTGTCCGGCGGGTAGACCGGAAACTGATCATATCGTGAGTAAAGGTCTATAAGTGAAATTATAGGCCTTTCAACACAGGATTCTGATAGAGCATCCACATTTAGCAGTCCTCCAGCGTCCCGCACGGTCACCGCATTCAGCCTCTGCAAATCTTGCACCCACCGCAGCGTCCCGTTAGACTTGATGAAGCAGAACCACGGGGACGCATACGGCCCACTCGAATAGTCGGCGACGTGCGTACGTATCTTGCCGTCGAGGTAATCCACCACCTTCTTCTCCTCGTCAGGATTAGGATATCGCGCCCCTCGCATGTTCCAAGGCTCGTGTGGCACGGTATGGATGTGGATCATAGGTATTTTGTCCACATCCAGCCTGCCACGCCCCTCGTCACTAAACGCATAGGCGTTGTGCCTCCTCTTCATCAACTCCACCATCAATGTCCGCTCCTAAGGCAGTAGGAAGTCGGGCTCCCTATAATCAACTCCCCTTCATTCCCTTTGTTGATACGACATGGTCCTGCTAAAGCACTCTCCCTCATTCGTCGTATCAACCCTCGTTCCCTCTCGTAATATGCTTCCTCGTCCTCTGTAACGAGGACGGGAACCGGGCGACACTTCTTGTCTACCGTCTTGTACCGCTTTTGGGAACCCTGCTTGAGCCGTCCCCTAAAAAAGACCGACTCACAGATTGCGTCTGCGCGGATGTGGGGTTCTTCCTTCCGTCGGGAAAACGATACCAGCTCCAATCTCCCCGTCTCGGGGCATTCCAGGACCTGCTCCCTCAAGGCTTGGATGGCATCCGGATCCGCCATCTCATGTGCGGCCACCAAGTCCATGGCCTTCCTGACGTCCGATAGGCTAAGGGAAAACGCTTTCACCTCCTCTTCTCCTTCCGGCTCCGCCCGAAGCTTCCGGCGCTCGCCCTCCGACTCTTCGATTGTGAAGGATCCTGGTCCTGTGTTTCTGCAGGTAATTATTTTGTAATTCCTGCAGGCAGGGTCGCATAGGAGGAGAATTAACGTCCCGTCATGCTTATTGAACATCATGGTCTCTGTCCTACTAAGGAATGATCTCCCTAGGAGGATTCCGTGATCCACATCCGGCATGATAAAGAAACAAGCCCGGGCCTTCACCTTTCCAACCTCGATGAGTACATTCGAGGCTGTCCCACAAAATACGGCCTTGCAGCTGGCTCCGTGCAGAATACCGCAGTCAGAACGGTCTATATCCAGCCCGAATCTGATCGCGTCCGCCTCCCGGATAATGTTCATCTCCGCCCCAGTGTCCACCATTGTTGCGCACTTGGAACCCTTCACCACCAAATTCACCGTGCTGCAGGCTACACACTTCCAGTCCATTTTCGTACCCGACTCTGCCCACTCAGCCTCCTTGGGCAGGATCGTACCCAGATGGACATTGGGCACTAGGCGCCGCGACAATCTCCCCTTCAGTTCATCGTGGAGCCACGGGGCCGACGCTAGGATTTCCTTCAGGGTTATGAGGTCATTATGCCCTTCCAGCAGCCGGTCGATCACTTTCTCTATGTCAAATCCCTCTTCCAACTGAACCGCGTACTTCTTCCTTTTGGGTGGTCCGTCACGTATGACCGGCTCTGCCTCTCCCCTGGTCCCCTTTTTTCTTGCCCGCTGCTCCGCTCTCTGATCCTCTTCTCGGCGCAGCCTCTCATCTTCTTCCTCTTCATCATTGTCATCCTCTACTTCCACTGCCTCTTTCCTTTTTCCCGTTTCGGGCTCCCTTCTCGGAGGTTCTTGGTTGGCACTGGCCTTGGCTTGACTTCTCGTTCGTGCTGCCTGTGCCAGCCGGGCCTACGGAGTGAGGGGTCTCCCCATCATTCCCGATTGTGGGCACGACCCCACCACATTTACTCCGGGTCGCCCAGGCGCTGACTCTGGGCCGGAGTCATAGAGGAACACCTTGGGGATGCTAAACCTCCATCTCTTTACTTCGTCGTAGAGGTCTACCAACTTCTGCTGGTACCTTCCCACCTTGTTCAGTAGGTCCTCCATCTTCCCCAATAAAACGGATGGCGATTCCATCCTTCTTTCCTCGTCTTCATCATCTGATTCGATGATTATGGACTCATCCCTCCAACTTCCTCCACGTGGTCCTTGAGTCACTTCCTTATCGCTCCCCACTTCCTCTACCCCAATCGGTAGTTCCTCCTTTTCCTGCCATAGCCTGAACGTGGCAGGGGGTGGCAGCCCGGCTGCCGCCCTTCGTTGGGCTTCCGCTCTCACTCCTCCAAGCCTTCTGTCAATGACCTCCCCAAACTGATTGTAAATATTCTCATCCATGGAGGAGGAGATCAGCCCGCTCCTCTCGTCTTCCCGTCTTATGTTACAGAACCTTATGGTGTGGCCTTGCTGGTCACAATGCTGGGAGATGGCCGTCCTCCAGTCAAAACGGGGTCTCCCATACCCCTGACTTCCATGATCCCCCTGGCCTGGATACCCTGGCCTGGGTACCCTCGGCCTTGATTCCCCTGGCCTTGGTACCCCTGGCCTTGGTTTCCTCGTCCTTGATTATTCCATTGCCCTCCTCTTCCACCGCCATTCCTGCCTCTCCCCCTTCCTCCACCCCTCCCTCCGTTGCCTTGATTGCCCTGCCCCTGGTTCCCACCTCCAGCCACGCTTCCCTGTGAACTGGAAGCAGGTGACGGCGGCGGGGCCACAGGCTGGGCCTGGGCTGCGGGGTAGATGGGTGGCGGTATACTCATTTGTGGTCCGGCTACTGGCGGCGCGCTACCCCATGACACAATTGCATTGATCACCGGCCAGGGCCACTGTCCGTAGGAGGGTGCCCCTCCTTGCGAGGGGCCCGCACTAGACGAGGGCGCCGCCACACTTGGAGGAGCCGTCGCCACCGCCTGAGGTGCCTGCGCTTTTCCTGATCCCTGTCCGCCCTGCGCCAAGTTACGCACTTTGCGCTGGACCTTCGTCAGGCGTTGCGGCACCGGCTCTTCCTCGTCCCAGAGCTCCTCCTGAACAACCTCCTCTATCACCGACTCCGTTCCTTTTACTTGGACATTCGTTATTACCCTCCTTCGCACCACCGGCTCTGTCGCATACCCCAGCTGTGCCAATACGTCTGTAACAATCCTTGTTACCTCCGGGGTCCCAAAAGCAGGCGTACTTGACGTTGCTCCACCTGGTCCAAACACCCAACTTCCACCCCTCTGTCAATAGTGGCCCAGGTGAGCTTGGTGCTACCTCCTCCATGCCTCGTCAACTCGAAGGTCTCCGATGTCGTGAGTAGCCCCAGGAAGATGGCGCACTGTGCTTCCTCCGAAATCCCATGGACCTTCCGCGCCTCGTCAACTCGAAGGTCTCCGATGCCGTGAGTAGCCCCAGGAAGATGGCGTACTGTGCTTCCTCCGAAATCCCATGGACCTTCCGCGCCCTCTTCTTAAATTCTTGAACAAAAGCCCCCATCGTCGTAAAATCCTCTTTGTTCATTGCCTCGAGGTCCGCAGTGGTCAACAGTCTATCTCCCAGACAGTACTTCCTCTGCATTCCCTCCTTGAATCTTTCCCAGCTACCTTGGGTTGCATGTATAACTTTCTTCAGTTCTTGGTGAGAGTTGTGGAGAACGTACTGGAGAATGCGCTGAAATTTTACAACATCCGACAGCCCGACCAGAGCTTGTTCCACCCGCTCCAGCCATTCGGAGACTCTCTCCCCACAAAAATGGAAGGTATCGACCTTGGGGATATTGCTCGGATTTCTTTCATGCCTGTCAATAGCCGCGATAAGGTCATCGAGCGTCAAGTTTTTATTGGGAGCACCTGACACGCCGCCGCCCTGCGACATCTTCACAGACTCTCCTCCTCAAGCTCCCTGATAAGAGAAAAACAAGCACACCCCTTTATTCAGCATTACACCTTGATCGGTCTATTCCTTCCGCTCTGCCTAACCCTTACTGCATACTTTACCCAATTCTAACACGATCGTCCTTCATACTTCCCCTAACTCAGGTAGGTAAACTTTCTCACCTATACTTAGTCACTCATTACTTTTTCTTACCTTCTTGTCATTCCTTTATGCTTTCTTTTTTCTATTCACTTCTCATACCCGGATGTCGTTCCATCAGGGACAAAGGTAGGCTTTCCGTTATCCCCGACAATGGCGCCACCTGTCGGGCGCATCGGTCCGGCACCACATCAGGGCAGCGCGAGACCCTCCCGGTAGCGTCACGCAGGAGTTGGTTTTATATCCTTCGTCGCGAATATACATGGAGCTTCCGCAAGCCGCTCCGGCCGAGTGCGCCAGCCATACCTCTCGCGAGCCCCTACGACAGGATAGGGCCTACACGAGGCACGACTTACCTCCACGTTACAGAAGTTGTCACCTCCCTTCGGTGGGCGTATCCCCGCCGAGCTACCAGTCCACAATACGAAAGCTAATCAGTTGCAATCGCAGAGGTGGACCAGCCGAGGG